GAAGGGAGGCCTTACATGAAAGAAAGAGTCTAGTTTGGTAGCCAAGGATGACTTGCCTGCCTCCAGTTTCATGAGCTTTTACCTATAATTAATTAATCTGCAGCTTCTTCACATTAATATTGTGCTAAATTCCTGTTTGGCTGCCAGGCAGTCACCTTGGCTAATCTCACAGCTCTTCTCTTTCATGCTAGGCCTCTTCTTCCTTCCTTCTTCTTCCCCTGATCAATACCTCAAGCCCTTCAGTTAGCTGCTTCTCACTCAGATAAACATTTACATAGTGCTTATATCTAGATTTACAATGCACACAGTACACTGCCACTGAGGTACTACAGCACAGTTTTTTTTCTTTACTTGTCACAATTATGATCGTTAATTTAAATTACTAACCGATTAGCATTTGAGCGCTTATACTCCTAGAGCTTACTAACATGAAATATACAAACCCGAGTTAGTGTCAAACATCTACAACTTGAATTTTACACAACATATATGTATTGGTTATATATGAAGCAAATGTTTGGTTTTTCTATTTCAAGATATCAACATAGGACAAGAAGTCACAAATTTAAATTCTCACGGCATCATAGTTGTGTGTGTGTGTGTGAGAAATGCCCCTCCTTTATGGTTTACACTATCATTTATACTTATTAAAAAAAATCAGCTTTCACAATTTCCTCACTTGAATTAAAAAGAAGAAAAATTGTGAATATAAACTATTATGGTATCCATTATCGATGAGGAAAAAAATCGTCAGCAGCAAAATAGACTCGATCCGATCCAAGAGAGTCTACCATATAGAGTCAAATAAAGTCCAATTACGAAACAGACCCTAGGCCTTGGGGTTTTACATTGCTATGCAAGTGTGCATTTTAACATACAAAACGGTCCAAACCAAACCTCACCAAACCTCACCAAACCTCAGCGTTGTCCGTCACGAGACGACTCACCACCACCATCCGAAATCGAAATGGCGAAGAATCCAATCAGCAGCGCCCTCATCTCAGCGGTGGTAGCTCTGTTTCTGTTCACATCGGCGCTCGCGAGCTCTGACTCGCCCTTTATCGTCTCCCACAAGAAGGCCTCCCTCAACAGGCTCAAGTCCGGCGCTGAGCGCGTCTCTGTTTCCATCGATATCTACAATCAAGGATCTTCGTAAGCCTCCTCTTAATTCCACCATTTCCGATCTCAATTTTTGTTCTTATTCTTCTTTTATTTGCAGATCTGGCTTGGCGTCCAATATTTGTCCTTCTTTCTGTTAGATCCACTCGAACTTTTGCGTGCATGTCTCGTTTTCTCATGTTTTTCATTCTTATCTTCAATTATGGTTCGTCTTGCTTAGCTGTTGGTTGAATTGGAACGTATTTCTCGAGTATTGCGTTTTCATTGTAAATTGTTTGTTGTTATTGGATTTGTTTTTCTTCAATTTTATTTCTGTTTGGTTACTGTGAAATCTAGGAAGTTTGCTTGTTTTCTTATTGGAAAGAAAATTATCAAAAACTATTCCGTCAACTGATCCGGTACTGATGCTCTATATGTCTCACTAACTGTGCAAAGCATAATGTTTTGGATTATTTGATAAAATATGTCATTGCAAAAGAGAAAACTGTAACTATTGTTGGAATCTCATTGTCACAGTGTTAGCTGTGTTTATATGTTATGTATGTTGAATGGGAAATGGCTGTTTGCTGGAATTGGTTGAAGCATGTGACAAAAGTGTTGAAGGAATTGGTGCTTTGTGGAGCGAGAGTATGAAAGTTACGTGGATGTTTTATTTGATGTATGTGCAAGTCTTACAAGTTGTAAAACCATATCAGCTTAATTAATTTCCCTTTCCACAGGATAACTTGGTAATATTGCCGGGGACAGTCAACTTAGAAAATATCAAATACCTTAATTTGAATTCTTTTGGGGCTAAGGGCATGGCCCAATGCTCATCTAATTAGCATGTCAGTGGTTGACAGGATGTACTAACATCCTGTAACTTACTTTAGATCGACTAGTTTTAAATTTGTGAAATTGTTCTTTATGTATTTGCCATGTCTGAGTGACCCATAAAATAACTTAACAATACTCTTCGTGGTCAAATAAAAGAGGATGTGCAAAATGCTTTTCCAGCCAACTTGCATTTAGTAGTTCAATTCTGCATTGAAATAAAGGCACAACACAACCCTGTTAACCTCATCTCTGCAGGCTTTCGTCATTGTATTTGTATATGAATCATCTCTTTCGTTTTTTCTAGTTTCTCCACAGTTCTACTGATTGATTGTTAACTGATATTCTTTTTGTTTTGATTCTCATATGTCTGCTTATATGTGATAATAGAATTGATGATAATTTGTAATGATTCCTTTCCAGAACTGCTTATGATGTAAGCTTGAGTGATGAGAGCTGGCCTCAAGATATCTTCGATGTTGTCAGTGGTAACACTTCCAAGTCATGGGAAAGGCTGGATGCGTAAGTGCCAACTCATTTGTAATGGCATTTGCTACTTCGCATGGTTTTCCACTCCTTTTGTTTCTTATTTGTTTTTCCCTAAATGATATTCGCAGAGGTGGCATTATATCCCACTCTTTTGAATTGGAGGCCAAAGAAAAAGGAATATTTAATGGTGCACCAGCTCTTATTACATTCCGCATTCCCACAAAGGCCGCTCTACAGGTTGGATGTCTGCAACCTGTTCCTTTGTTTCTGGTTTTGGCTGTATAAATGTTTACCTTCTGACTTTCCTGTTTCTTCTAGGAGTCTTATTCAACTCCAATTCTGCCTCTAGATGTTCTTGCAGACAGGCCTCCTGAGAACAAGTTTGACTCGGTAAGCTTCTCCATCATATAGCAGTTATATTAGGCAATCTGATTTTGACAACTTTTACTGTGTTAACTGATGCTTTGTTTTTTGTTTTCATGGAATTACCTCTCTGCTTGGGGCGAAATTTTTTCAGGTTAAGGTATGAAATATTGTTTATGTGCTGTTGGATCTTTATATTCTGGAAGTTGTTAAATCATCGTGAACTTTACTTTATTTGTGTCTGAATAGAGCGAGGAGTTGTACCATTTCTTTGTTTCTCCCCTTACACGTTGACCTTCTCCTATCTACAGAGGCTGCTGGCAAAGTATGGGTCTCTGATCTCTGTGGTCTCCATTGTGGTTCTATTTGTGTACTTGGTTGCGAGTCCATCCAAATCCGGTGCTGCAAAAGGAGGCAAGAAGAAGCGCTAATCACTGGAGATGAAATTGAATCAAATGGCATTATTGGTTACCTTGCAGGGTTGCGAGTTGGTTTTTTCCTCGAGTTAGTGGCACATGTTAGTTTTGTGAAACATTCAAAAAGGACTACTCATTAACAAGTTAGTGTAAGAAGATGAACAAGCTGATGCATACGGCGGGCATAAACCCCCCAAGCAGGTCTTTGATAATGTTTCGTAATGGGTAGTTTGCTCGTCAATTTTGGATTGAATGTTATCTTTTACATTTGATGTTAGATTTCATTACTTGAAATGAGACGCTGGTACTACAAAACCTGTTTGTTGCTTGCTTCTGGTAAATATTCCGGATGAAGTTGTAAATTTCTGCTGAATATCATCATATAACTGGATGCGATAAAACGAAATGGTTTTCAGTTATTTTTATTTTGAAGGTTCGAATCTACATCGTTGCTTAGTTCCCTAATTCCTAAATGGCAAGCAATTAACCACTCGTATAAAGAGAATAGATCACTTTCACGTGGGCTGTGGCTTATTGTTCATTTTCTTAATCATGTACGACATTTGAAGAGGAACTTGCGAATCCGAAGTTTAGACAAAAGTTGAGAAACTCACCCCTGTACAAATTTTGTTGTAAGAAGAACAGAAAAAAAAGGAACCAAAATAAAAAGAGAGTTGAGGTTAGGATTGAGCAGTTGGTTAAAAATGAAGGGGGGATTGGTCAATAGTCGGTTAATATCTCGAGTTCAACACCCTTGGTACAAAATCAATGGATTATTTCCATCAATTAAAAAGTTTAAGTAGGTCAAGAGAGACTAGAGTAACTACCTATTAGTCTACTAATATATATATTGAAAACAAAAGATAGTCTAAACTACAAAGTAGAGAGGCACACGCACACACTCTCACCAAGGTACCATATGAGGGTTCGAACTTGAGATTATTGATCTACAAGTCAAGGCCCTTATCCATTGGGCTAGACCCAGTTGGCTACTAATATTTATTTTTATTTTGTTGAAAGACGTTGAGAGTTTGAATTATCCATTTTTTAAAATAATGGAAATAAAAAGTAGGTTTTTTAAATTTTCAAATAATAAAAAGAAGGTTAGTAGAGCAATAATTAATTGAAAATATGAACCCCTTTGGGCTTAGGAAGGATCCAAATGTGATATTTATTATTGTTATTTGTTAAGTATTCATATTGCTTAAAGACGTTCACATTTTGTCAATTAAATGATAAAATCATGTGAGACATGATACGTGACTTGAATTCAAATTAAAATATTTCTCTAATAATTAATAATCTTGTAAAGGAACTTAAATAGACAACATGTAGCATAGTATTGGAAGGAAAATTAGATTGTGGCACAGGAAAAAGTTTAGTAAAATAGCTCTGTCTAATGGCACTTCTCTTCTTTCCACCCCAATTGTGTTTAAACTAGTTTATGCTCACATGTACATTGCACAGAAAGAGTGAGGAACGACAGTTTTGTCAAATTGTGAATTGTATTTGTATAGAATATATTTCTCGTTTCTAACCTAATATTACCGTTGATTAAATATGTTGTGTTCGAGTTGACTCACATACCTTATAAACAAAAAACTTAGAGGCTGAGTTCTTGTGTTGACCTCATGAATTTTCATCGAGTATACCTAACCCCTAGCCAGATAAAAATTAAAAAGAAAAAAGAAGCCAGCTCTGTTGCTGTAAGTTTCTAGTGTATAAATACCTCAACTGCTCACCCATGAGTCCGAGTCCTCACATCACATATCTTTAGTTTGTAGTCTACAAAAGAAGCCATCTAGTTTTTCTCATTCTCTTAATCATCTTTTTAATTCAGTTAGCCAAATTTCATTGACTCTTCCTCATGGATGCTTCCCTGTGGGCATTTCTCCTCAACAGTCCTGAAGGATCTGTTCCTTATCCTTGGGAACGCTGTTTTGATCTTGTGGTACGTATATATACTTTGGCCTCTCCATCTCAAATTTTCTCTCTCGATCTACATTCTATACACACACACACACACACTCACTCACTCACTCGGATTTTAATTTTTTGTGTTTGCAGACAGGAATGCTGTTATATAAGAACAGACTGAATGGCGCCGTAGTCCTAGATTTAAGGCCTCGAGTGAACCTTGGGGGAGGCTTGTACAACGTAAGCACCGCGTGGCAAGACCTGACGGCCGGCAACCAATACACGGCCGCAAACAACGCTGTGCAGTGGACTCCTTCTCTGTTCCGCAGACATATTAATGAACATGATCAAGACACTCCCATTCTCATTTGTTCCAACTGCTGCACCAACCAACTCATCTATTTCCTGGTGCCCCAACTCATCACTCACTGCCCCTTATGTCGCCGCTTTATGAATTTCTTTGCTTAATTCTGTCCTGGGAATGTAAGATTTCTAATGATGAATAAAAGAGTTGTTGCAATTATCTGATGCCTCTGTTCTTCATGAAAATTATAATTAATTATTTAATGAAATGAAGGTCCCGAGTTATGTGATAGTTTCTTGGAGTCGATATGAATTCAGTGAGAACAAGTTGTAAACCTTAAAAGCACGCCGTTCTAACTTTGTCCGCATATATAAATATGTAAGTGCGTGTTCGTTCCAAGCTCAGCTGCCTTTAATGAGACCGAGTTTTCCTCTTTTTGCATGGCCAAGGACTTGCGTGTTTTACTTTTTAGTCAACCTCGCAATTAATAATGTGCAAAATCAATTTTCGCACCAATTCCGTCTTCTTCTTCTTCTTTTTTGGGTCTTTTTTAAGATAAATTTCCTTTTGTAAATTACCCAAAAATTTACAATTTATTTTTAATTTTACCATAAAATTTTGACTATTTGATTATAAAATAAATAAATAAAAAGAAGAGGTTGTGTACGAGTCTCATATATATATATATATATATTGGATAATGTCAGGTTTGTTGAAACTGTGCTATTAATGCTAAGCCTCCTGTTCGTGATGCCAATTAAGATTTTTGTTTCCTTTTTTCGTCAAGAGTCTTGATGCAATGGACTGGCAGTGGCTCTGCTTGCTACATATTCAAGTAATAATGTGGCCAATAAAATTTTTCCAAATTGTTATTAGGGCTTTATATATCTAGCTCAGATTTCCCTTATAAGTCAGTTATGAGGTTGTTGAATGCATTAATTGTGTGAACTTGACAGGAAAAAAAAAAACTTCTAGCGTTAAGTTTATTACTTGAAAGAAAAGAAAAAAAAGTTTGTTACAATCAACAGAAAAAGAAAAAAGAAAAAAGAGCTTTGAACAACAGGGTAATCTTTACTACTTCAAATCCCGACCCTAATTGAAAGTGAGGAACTAACTTCATTATAGGATTGTCTGGTTTTTTGTTTTTTTGTTTTTTTAATACAATTGATAGTTAAAACTGTAAGGAAATGACGATTTCTCACACACACTCTAAAGGAGCCATGAGAGTTCAAACTGAGACAACTAGTTTGTCTATCAATGCCATTTTTCACTGAACTAGACTTCATTGGCAAGATTGCCTTATGTTAATAAAGCTTAGAAGGGTCATGAGTTTAACCTTGTGTACTGGTTTTTTTTTTTTTTTGGGTTAATAAAAATATATTTCCTGCTAAACAAACATATAGTTTTGTTCTTCCTAATTGGTTTTTATGGATTACAGTCTTCTTAAGTAGTTGTTCTTGTTGACCACATTTTCGGATTTAAAGTAGTATAATACAACATGCACTCGGACTTTTCTCCTAGCCTTTTTTTTTCCTCTTTGGCCATATTTATTCCGATCATCATTATCATTACATACCTGGACTGACTCAATACAATATGGTTAGAAAATTAGAAGAGACAATTCAAAGCATTATGAACACAAGATAGGATTTTGACCATTCTTTCAAGACTAATATCTGAAGCACTATTTCTTCTCATAGATTGGATATGGCACAACCATGACATTGATGAGGCGATATTACATAGCTAGTTTCCTGCTGGTTTCAATGCGCGGTAGAAACCCAAGCACATACATACAACAAGGAAGAATAAACCAATCTTTTGTTTGTGCTATAAGCAATTGAATTTTACCACCGACTCGTGGCTTCATCCATAAATACTGATAGATTCTAATAGGCTGAACTGCTTAGATGTTCCTTACTGGCCTTTTCGAATTTATGTTTTTTCCTTTGTTAGCCTAATAAGAACTAGAATAATTAGCATAGGAAAACAGAGTATGTAACCTAAAAAATAAGAAAAAGAAAACATTATGAAAACAGAGCTGTATGCATCGCATTATAACAAGAAGATTACAATGAATGAATCCCCATATCATATGCTTCGTTTATAAATAACTGGGAAAACTGGAAATGGAAAGAAAGCATATCGGGTGAGAAATTGTAAAAGAAAGGCAAGACAACTCAATTTCAGAAGCAAAGCAGAAAGGAGAAAGAAAACTGGTAGAGTCGCTAGTAGTCAGCCTTGTCAGGCTTTTCGTCTGCAACTGCAATGGCTGGGTTGACGGCAATTCCAGATGCTACGAAAGTTGAGATACCCTGGGTCAGATGCCTGGACGCCTTTTCATAATTAACAAAACCCATGAACCAGAAATCATGGCCGTCTATTGTCACAATCTGGATGTACTTTTCGGTTGAATTTTCCCTCATCACCACCGGATTGATTGTTGCAATATTTCCCAAAGGCACCATAATCTGTTCCAATAATACAATTCATCATTAACCAGATAAATATATATATATATATGCATGTAGTATCTTCTGATTAGTTGAAAATTGAAATGAATATGTAGTGGTTGGTGGTTACCTTGTAATAGCTCCAGGTGACCTGACCAGAGGGGGCAGTGAAGGACAAGGGGCGGTCGCTGCAAAAAGCTGTATGAAGATTAGAGAGATAAAGAGTTCCAGCAACTGGTCCAGTGGATGTTGAGAGATAACAGGCAAACGACTTGTTCAGCTTCTCGTTGGGATAAGTCGCAAATGACTGCTTGTACAGAGCCTCAAATCCACCCCCTGTAATTGCTTTCGCTGTCACATTCATCTTCCCCCACGCAGCTCCAGACACCGATGTCCCAGTTTTCACTGTTGGAATGAATGGAATTAATTAAAGTCAACAAAAACCATATGTTTGCAATTGATTAATTTAGAATGAAGAGAAAGTACATACGGTTGTGCCAGATGTTGTTGGCCATGGACTCGGCCCTGTTGCTCCAGGAGTTGAAGACATGAAGCATGGATTCCATGGGGCTGTTGTTCGACTTTTCAATGGGTTTGTATTGAAGGTAGGGATGGTGGAAGCTTTGGGCTTGTTCAGTGCCAGCAGCACCCCACAGAGCTGCCTTTTTGTTGTCTGGATGGCATGTTGGAACAGCAGGGTGCCCCATCACGTGAGTCCCCCATTGCTCTGCTTTCTCTTCTTCATTTGCTGCTGGTGGTGGTGGTATTGATGAAGACGAACTTGATGATGGAATATCTTCTTCATGATGATGAGCTTGTTTGAGATCTTGGGTTTTCTGCGGTGAGGATGGGGATGGGGATGGTGCTGGGTGATCAGAAGGGTTTGGCGTGGGAGGAGTGAAATCGGAGGGTTTTTGGGTTCCCTGCAATGAGGACGATGGCTCAGGTGTTTGATAAAAAGGATTGATTTCTTGAGCTGTGGGATTTGCAATGGAGGGGTATTGGGGTGGTTGGGATTTCAGCGATGAATATGATGGCGGAGGTGTTTGAAGAAAAGGGTTTGTGTCATTTTCTGCGGTGGGAGGAGAAATGGAGGGGTACAGAGGTTGGGATCCTTGGTTGGTGTTGTTCATGTTTTGCTGGAAGGGTAATGGAAAACGTACAATATTGGTCTTTCTTTCTGGTGTGAGTTTATCGGATGTGGTTGAAAATTGCAATGGTTTTTTATGTTTGGCAAACGTTATTTATAACAAAGCAAATGGCAGACAACGGAGCTCTTTCAAGACTTTCTAGAAACACATGAACATTTTAATAGATATAGATATACCTAACCGAGATAGATAGGCTGAGATTTTTGTGTTTGTTTATGTATTCATTGTAATATTATATAAAGTGTTTGAAAAGGAGTTCGTCACTAGAGGGGCGTGTGAAAGCGAAAAGGTTGACTCTCTGCATCCAAATACACGCTTTAGTAATGATCATCCATTCAGATCGTCGTGTTTGCTTAACCGTGTTATTTAAAGTCGCGTTTTCCAACAAGTTATAATTTTCTCCTTCGGCTTCTAGATATGGAGAAATTCATGTTTCATATTTCTAATTGTTATATTATATAATCCAACCCTCTCCACTCTACATCTTCATTTTGTACTACTACTACCACTGTGTCGATACTCGGATGAGCATTTTCTAATGTCTAATACTAATGTATACATAATACATGCAAATATAGATTAGGCCAGTTGACGAAAGCAATGTACTTTTCTCATTACTCAAGAATTTAAAACTCCTTTCTGAACATTAGAATAATTTTAAAATACCAACATTGTCTAACCAAAAAATAATCTAATTCACACTACGAAAATATGACAAAACAGAAAGATGAAGAAAGAAAACCCACATTGGTTGAAATGCTGCAAACCATCAATAACTCTAGTTGAGACTGTTGGTTAAAAAAAGGCATTATCAGTTATTTACATTCGAGTCCTTCTATAGTGAGGGTCTTATCTAATGCTCTTAAATGAGGTCCTATCTCTTAATTATTGAATCAAACTAACCAATTTAATTCAACGATTAGGGCCTCATCTAAGGGCCTTATATAAGGCTTTTACTATAGAATTCTTGATTTACATTGAAAAGGAGATTATTTTTATTTTGGTCCTAGATAGTGACACAACTCGATTATGGCCTTTTTTACATTGGGCCTTTTTGTGTACGAAAAGGTTAGTATAGTGTGGCCCAAATAAAGCCCAAAAGTTAATTAGAATGGGTCCGAGTTCTCAGTCTGCCTACGTGACATTTTGTGAATTGTCCATTGGGTCATTGTATCTACCCGTCTTCTATTCTATTCTATTCTATTCTATTTCTATACCGCCATTACCAACTTTGCCCTTCTCATCGTTCGTTGAATCAATAACCCCACAGGGCCCACCGTCCAGCAAACAGCAACGTGTCCGAACATGATTAGAAACAGCCTGGCGATATTAAACACCTTGGGACCCACAGTGAATATATATTCGCATTCTAAATTAATTTATTAATTCATATCTAACTTTTTTGATCCGGCTAAGCAACCAAACCGACCACTGACCAGCAGGCACGGAGCCACGGACGAGAGAGACAGAGAAAGAGAGTTTATTTGAGAAGATGAGTTACCAGAAAGCTTCTCAAGAATCCTACCCTCCACCAGGCATCAACAAACACACTTCCTTTCCACAAAATTTCAGTATTTTCATTTCAATTCTTAGATTACTTCACTAATCGATTTTTTTTTTCCTTTTTCGGTATTGAAGGATACCCGTATCCGTATCCACCGCCGGGGTACCCATCAGGTCCTCCGCCACCGCCGCCGCCGTATGGAGGGTACCCACCACCACCACCTGGGTATCCTCCACCACCTCCACCGCCGCCGCCGCCGTACGAAGGGTACCAAGGGTATTTCAATGAGGGGTACCCTCCGCCTCCGCCTCCACAGCAGCAATACCAGCAGCACTATCACTACGAGCATCAGAATTACCAAGAACAAGATGGTTGTATGTCTTTCTTACGAGGCTGGTATGCTCCCTTCCTTGCTCTCTACTCTCTATTCTCTACCCGCCATTTCAGTCTCTTTATCTTCCCTTGTTCCTTTCTACTTTTTAGCCCTTAATTTGATTAAAAGTTTACCTAATTTATTTCCAAGCTCTTACCTAATTTATTTCCAAGCTCTTACCTTTATTTGGATTAGTGTCCCCGTACATGAAATAAGGTATTTGCTTTTGATAGTTTAGTTAGTAAAGTCTCTATCTAGGATTGAATCCTCAAGCTTTACTATACGTTGTATGTTGCGCTATATATTCACTTAGGCTGGTAATTAATTGGTTTTGGTATCTCTGGAAAGTTGAGTCTTTTTCCCTACCGCTAGATTGTTTTACATTCCCCAATATCAAACTGGTTATGACCCTGTTCTTTTCTGCACTCCAAATCTTGTGCACAGCTGAGATTCTTCTCATAAGACAGGAGTACAACATGTTGCTTTTTCATTTTTCTCCTCATATAATAAACATGGCACACTCTTCGTTTGTAAAGTTTTTCACATTCGAACATGTTGCCTTGGCACCGAAGTTTTTAACCTTCGAACATCAAATCATGGCATACTCCTCATCCAAACGAGCCCTATTTATATAATTTGTAGATTGAACAAAAGTAGATCATGTGTTCTTTTCAATCCATAACTACAGAGGGGTTTTTGTAACTTCTCTTCAGGCGTTTGTATATTGTTCCCTGTATGGCCCTCTTCAAAATGCTATAGGGTCATCTGAAAAGACTTGAAGAATAGCTAATCTATTGAGATTCAGAAATTTCAAGCTTGGCCCCCCGTTTTGGCTTCTCTTTATGTTTTGATTCTGCTTTTGGTTTGTTAAATCTTATACTATCACTCGCAATTATGTTAAAGCTTCAATTTGTTATTCCTTGTAGTGTTTCTTTTGTATGAGAGGGGAACTAATGAATTGTTTCTTTTACATGTACAGTTTGGCTGCGCTATGCTGCTGTTGTTTGTTGGAGGAGTGCTGCTTCTTCTTTTGATGATAATGGAAATGGATTGGATTGTTTCTAATGTTTGCATATGCTTCGATTCTGTGTTGGACGAATACTGCACCTGAGCAACCTCTATAGATTTTGCATGAAAGTGCATTAGTGTCGTTATTTATGTTCGAGGCTTCTAGCCTCGTATATTTTATGCAGTTGTTTTATGTGGTGTTCTTCTATCCTAACTTGTAAATTGAAAGCAGTACAGAGCTGCTTGTGTGGGAACACAAATGCTTACGTTTTAAGTATTTTGATAAATAAAACAAAGTGAACCCCCATAAGCTGGTTGTGTCTTGTAGTTTGGCATGCGACATTGCCTGCAGTTTGACGATTCATTTCATCTCCATGTGATCCACCAAGTTTCAATGCTTCCAGTAGCCTTTTGATTCTTCTATCTTCTACTTCTTCTCAGCTGCCAAAATAACCCATATTCTTCTTTTTTTCATTTTTGGGTAAACTAGATCATGCTTATTCATTTTTTTCGTTTGGGTAAACTAAATATCATGCTCATTCTATCTCCTTACAAAACCAACCATGGACTCATTCCCTTTCTGCGCCAGCCACCAGGAGAATCTTTTGTAAGGAGACGGAATAAGTTGTATTACACTATTAGCGACAGTTGGAAATACTAGTACAAAATCTATTTATAACAGCATAAGATTATAACAGCCAATCTGTTTAAATTTAAACAACTTATCACTAACTCAAATCGACTAAAATCCACTAACCAGTTTGCCTAACCAAAGTACAAACTACTCAATAAGAAGAGTTTGACAGCCTAAACAGGAAAATAAATACACCTACAGAGTCCACACAAACTCCGGTGTATCGTTTCTTGGCCCTACTAGTGTGCGATAGAGGTACATCTTCTCCACTCGTTGCTCATCATCAAGGCCAAGCTCCATCTGATCGTTTTCATTTATGATCTCCACATTAAGCCCTGGCATCTTCTCTGCGAGTGCCTTGCAGCCTCCAAGAGTAACTTCGCAGGACGACATCCAAAGGGATCGCATTGTTTCATACTTTCCCACGTCCTTTAGAAGTGCCATGTTCCCGAAGGGGCAGTCCCTGATCTCAAGCTTCCGAAGCTTCTTGCACCCATTCAACACATAAAGCATACCTTTATCGCTGTCTCCAGCAAATGCAATAGAAAGCATTTGAAGCTGCTCAGCATACATTCCAATGTAAAGGAAAACCTTGTCAGTCAAGAGGCCGGAGAGTGACAGCCGCCTAATATTTTTGCATGCCTGAACAATTGCCCCAAAACCTTCATCCAGTGGCTGCATGGTGACAGCGTCAGGTCTAGTGGGGTCAAGGATGCACAACCTGAAACGTATAAAATTTGGGCAGTTCTTGGCCACAGTGATGAGAGCAGCATTAGTCATCTGCTGGCAAAAGTAAAGCAAAGAGTGAAGCTTGGGGCAACCAGCGGATATGGCAACAAGGCCTTCTTCTGTTACAGCAGCATGTCCAACTCCAAATGGATCAGAAGGAAAAACTCTCAATTCCTGCAATTCTTTACAAGTTGAAGCGATAACTCCTAGTCCTTTGTCTCCAATACAATCTAGTATCTGCATGCATACAGAGACAATTTACCATCATGTTGTAAAGAAACACATAGGAATCATTCTTTTTTCTTGGAAAAATATAAATGATTGAAGGAGCATACCCATAAGCGCTGAAGCTTCCCACAGTGGCGAATTAGCTTTATCAGCTCGCTGCCATGAATCCCTGGAGCATAGCTGAGGTTCAAGGATGTCAAGTTTGAGCATATTGGGTAAATAGCGGGAAGACAACGGGGGGCAACCTCCAAAAACCCTGACAAGCTCTTAATTGATTTACATTTTAGAATAGTAGCCTTCAGTTTGTTGTACGTCTCAGAATCAGGATCTAAGACATAAGACCCGGTTCCCAAATCCACTAGTTGAGGTGCTAGCATGAGTACTTTTTGAAGAGTATCAGGAGGTACCGCACGGTTTAACCTCAGGACTTTGAGGTTAGGAGATCTAGCCACTAGTCTCTCCAGAGCTGCTAAATTAATTTCTCCTTTGAGGCATGCAAAATTCAGGGACACTAGTGAGGTACAGTTTTCAGGAAAGCAGCTAAGCCACTGGCCTCTATGATCATCAATATCATTTTCCTGCAGATCCAGCTCCTTGAGAAACCTATGTAGAAGAAACGTTGGAGGAAGTTAGGCACAGATGAAATTCAGGAAAAACTCGGACCAATCATCTAACATAACTTTATCTTCTCACTTTCTCAAGCCTATCATATTTATTCTTTGTTTGATCATGATTAATATTCTAATCAGCATATGAGCTCCGGAGAAGTTTCCCTCTGTTCGGTTTAATTGTTTTTCATTGGCAACATTAGATCATGGAGAGAATTTCAAGATAAACAAACAAGATAAGAAAGATCAATGACATGAACACGTATTCTGGTGAAAATGGAAAACCGAGTTGTTCTATCAACCATTTACAGTATGAACTACACAAAGATGTACAAAGCAATGATTTTGAAATCATTGACAGCTGACAGAGTAGATGCAAGATACTCAAACGGCAAAAGAATACAAAATTGGATGGCCCAGATCGGTAAAAACCACAAACAAGTCAATCACAGAATCAATGGCAATTCAACTGAACTTTTAGAGGAAAAAAAAAAGTCGCAACATCAAATAAAAACCAAACCATATCAATTATCTAACCCAAAAAAAAATATCCATGTACATAACAAAAAGTCAAATAAAACCGCCAACAGGTCCAACAGTTAGAAAGGAAAAAAAAGTAACTCTATTGGGCATGTAAAACAAGTAAGAAGACCAAAAACAAATTAGGATCAAGAAAATATATTAGGAAAACACATTCTTCAGTTGTGAAAATAATAAAAATAAATAAATGACGTTACCTGCAATTGGCAGCTATAGCAGCAAGGCCATCGGTGGTAAAGCCTTCGCAGCTAACAAGAACCAAAGACTTGAAATTGAGGAAGGACCTGGAAAGAAGCTCAAGGCTTTCATCAGAGACCACCATCCTCTTGAGTCTGAGCTCCTCCAAGCCGACCCGGCTGTCAACGAAAGCTTCAACCCAAGGCTGCAGAAAGCCACCCCAGTCATGAGGGACCAAATTGAAGTCGGCGAAGTGAGGCTTTCCCTTCAAAGTTAGGGACTTGAGCCCTGGAAACCTCTCGATCACTCTCTCTGGGCTGATCGCATAGCAATTCCCTATGAACACTCTCTCCCTACTAAACCTCTCTATTCTGTACCACGATTTGCACACCAACGACACTGCGTTTCGGTCCTTGTGCGACGTCACCGAGTCGAATATGTGCTCTATTACCTCGTCTGGAAAGTAATTCATCCTTCTTTCTTTACCATTCAATCCACAACTTTCCCGGGAAAAAATGCCAAAGGTTCCAAGGAAAATCGAACAAAAAAGAAATCAACTTTCCGAGAAAATTTTGGAAAAAAACAAAAAAAAAGAGCTAGCCTCGCATATGCATATACATAATATATTATATATGCGTCTCTCTCAATCTCAGTGTATGCAAGATCTATGCCAGAGATTTCAATCTAAGAAAACTCTGATGCACAAATACAAGACCTTTGGAAGGGAATCTGAGGAACCTACACGAATGAGACCAGAAGAGCAGATCTAATTAGATACAAAGCTATCTAGCTAGCTAGTTATAGCTAACACTCGTCGAGGAAAACGATATCTGTTTATTTCACTTGAGCTTAGATCTGCAGTGAAAGATGGGGGAAATAAAACGACAGTGAAATTTCCTAGAGAAAAAATAAAGAAGAGGAGAGAAGAAAGGAAAGGAAAATCTTTTTTGTTTTGATTCTAATGAGTGATCATCTTGAAATCAAAAAGTGATGATTACAAGGCTGGAAAACAAACAGAGGAAATATCATTCATAGATCTCTGAGAATCTCTGTATTTCCTGAAATAGAAATTATTAACTAAACAGAAGGCTTATGATTCTAAAATGAGAGAGAGAGAGAGAGAGAGAGAGAGAGAGAGATAGACTGAGACTGAGAGCACCCACAGCACAGACAGACCCTCTCTTCTTCTTCTTCTTCTGTGTGTTTCTCTGTTTGTAAAAACACAGACATGGGTAGGCTCTCAACCTCAAAGGCTCAACTTCAACCTCTGCCTTTTTAACTCTGATGAGGAGAGGAGGAGGAGAGCACAGAAGAAGTCAGAAAGAAGAAGAGAGGCAACAGCGCTTCTTCACTCAAATCAAAACCAAACCAAACCAAACCAACCATTGCTTGCTTAATT